CAAGATCTTGTTTCATTTTTAATATCAGTTTTGTATAATTGTCTTCTTTTATTGAGGAACACCTTGAAGTTATCCAAATTCCTAAATATTTAATCTTTTTCGTTACTTGTAATCCCAAATTCTCTTCCAATTTCCTTTTTTGTTTATCGGTTAAATTTTTTGCTAACATTTTAGTCTTTTCTCTATTAATTTTTAATCCTGCCACTATTCCAAATTTTTCTATTTCACCCATAAGAATATTTCCTCTTTCTATAGGTTCCTCAATAAAGAAAACCAGGTCATCAGCGAATGCCTGTAACTTATATTCCTCTGCTTTGACCTGTACCCCTTTTATTTCTTTATTTGCTTTAATTTGAACTAATAATACTTCAAGCATCAAAATAAAAAGTAAAGGTGAAATTGGGCATCCCTGTCTTACCCCTTTGTTTATTTCAAAACTTTTTGTATTCTCTCCATTGACTATCACACTAGCTCTCTGTGTTCTATATATTGCCTTTATTATGTTAATAAATTTCTCACAAAATTTCATATCCTCAATCTATTGAAACATAAATTGCCAATTGAGGCTATCAAATGAAGGCGCCTATTACTATTGGTACTACCTTTGCTTGCTTTTGCCACAGTCTTTCTATTTCTATTTGTAGATCTTTGTATTTTGTTATCTTCTCCAGTTCTTTCTCGTCTGTTTTGCTGTCTCCAGGTATTGCCACGTCCACTACCCAGACTTTTTTGTCTTTCTTATCGACAGTTGTTAAGTCTGGGGTGTTATGTTGCAGGTGCTTGTCTGTTTGAATTCTGAAGTCCCAGAGCAGTTTAACTTTATCGTTTTCTATGACTTTTTCTATTTTATGATACCACCAGTTCTTGCTTATGTGCAAATGATATTTCTTGCAGATCTTCCATTGCTACTTTGTCATGCCGCTGCTTGTAGTCAGTTTGTGTGATCTTCTTGCAGCAGCTTACCAGGTGGTCCACTGTTTCTTCAGCTTCTTTGCATAGGCGGCACTTACTGTCTGTTGCTGTCTTCTCAATTTTGACTTTGTATGCATTTATCCTTAAGGCTTGGTCTTGAACAGTTTTTGGGCATTCGGTGTCTAAAAGGTTCGCCATCACTGGTATAGGGTTTTCTGCCTGAGCATGGTGTTGGACTAGATGACCTCTATATTAATAACAACAACAACAACAATAATAACATATTTCCCCCCCACCCTCTTGAAGACACTCAGCAGGACACACTACAGCATCTCTAGCAGATTAACCCAGCAGAGGAGGCTTCATCTTTCATGTGGCAGTCTATTCCATTTGATGACAGCTTGTACAGTCAGGAAGTTCTTCATGTTCTTTAGTTTGAATCTCATTCCTGGTAATGTTAACCTATTGGTGTAGTCCAGACCTCTGAGGCAATATAGAATCACTACACTCCCTCTTCTGTGTGACAACCCTTCAGATATTTGAAGACTATCATATCTCCTCTTTATCATCTTTTCTGGAGGCTAAACATATTGACATTCTTTAACCATTCCTTCTTGGGTCTTTGTTTCTGGACCATTCTGACATCCTGCTCTTAACTTGCTCTTAACATCATTATATTGCTATTATCCTTCTCATCTTTCTCATTTCTCATCCTTTCTCGTCTTCTCATTTTTCCTATTATCTTCTCTTATTGGCATCGTATGATTTATCACTTGTTTGTATCTTATGATTAATGATTGTAACTATGATCTATGATCTATCACTTCATTGTTTGTTATGTTATGTCTGGGTGCACTAATAAAAATGCACCCAGGACGTATCCATGTGGTACTCCATTGATGCATTCTGCCCATAACCTGGAGTTCAATTTTGATGAGGCTCAAGGTTGATTCAGCCTTCCATCCTTCCAAAGTCAGTAAAATGAGGACCCAGATTGTTGGGGCAATATGCCGACATGTAAATTACCCAGAAAGGGCTGTAAAGCACTATGGGACAGTATATAAATCTAAGTGCTATTGTTATTGCTATTCCTTGAAGCTGAAGAGGTGCAAATGCTCCTTGGATGTGGTCATTTATCTAAATTACAGTCCATTGAATAGTGATGTCACCTTTACCATATGGTTAAGGAAAATATGAGAAACTTTGTTGAAGGCTTTGCTGAGGTCCAGGTATACACTGTGGCTTTCCCCCTGATGTTCTAAACCAGGGGTAGGGAACCTTAGCTCTTTTATGACTCGTGGACTTCAACTAACAGAATTCCTGAGCCAGCATGGCTCAGCTTGGAATCTCTCCCTTTCCCCTCAGCATGACTGGCTCAGGAATTCTGGGAGTTGTCAAAGTTTCTGTCATAATTTGTTTATGCCAAACAAATGCTGATTTTTATTAATTATGAAAGCATGCCCATTCAGGTGCTCACAAATAATGCTCTTTAATAATCTGTTTGAGAACTTGCCCAGAATGTAGATTTCAATTTGACAGGTCTATCGTTTCTTCAGATCTTCCCTTTTTTAGTTTTGAGGATGGCGACATTTGTTCTCTCTACTTTTCCAGATTTCTGAATGTTTCTCAGGTATTTTGAAATACAGGGTAGTCCTTGAATTATGACCACAACTGAGCCCAAAATTTCTGTTGCTAAGCAAGACAGTTGTTAAGTGAGTTTTGCCTCACTTTACTAGAGTTATTAGTCTTTACTCTTGCCACAGATGTTAACTGAATCTCTGCAGTTGTTAATCTAGTGACATGGTTGTTAAGTGAATTTTGCTTCCCCATTGACATTGCTTGTCAGAAGGTTGCAAAAGGTGATCATATGACCCTGGGACACTTCAATCATCATAAATATGATTCAGTTGCCAAGTGTCTGAATTTTTATCACATGACCACGGGAATGTTGCAATGGTCATAAGTGTGAAAAACAGTCATAGGTCACTCTTTTCAATGTCGCCTTAGCTTTGAATAATCAATAAATAAATTATTGCAAGTCGAGGATTACCTGCATTACTGAGAGTGGTTCTTTGGATGTTTCTACCAGTTCCTCTAGAAATCTGAATTTGTTTAAATTAGCTAGGTTCTCTTATCCTTTCTTTGTCTTTCCTAAATTGTAGTCCCAATCTTTCATTTGTGCACAAATAGCCAGCTAGAGGCAATATAAGAGTTAAGAAGTTGCTTAAGTCTTGAAAGTCTAGAAATGATTAGTTAATAAGCAATAGGCAGGTCGATTATTTACTGTTAGCTAATATTACAATTATTCTATCAGTTCTACAATCAACAGATCAAAAGAAAGGATGTGATATAAAGTATGTTTGCTCAGAAATATTTTTTTCTATTCAGCCAATGCAATGAAGTGATTAAAGTATTAGGCAACAAAATGGCATCTGCCTTACTATTTCTCTTTGTTTATTAAAATCAGCTGTTCTAAAACTCACGCTTTCACAATTTTAACACGTTTGATTAAAAATCAAGAATTCATACAATAATTTCTCACTTGTATCCCAAATTCTCACCATTTTAATTAAAAGTTTCTCCTCCAAATTCCTAGGAATTATAGTTATTGAATGCCAAGAATTGTATTAACAGTTCATATTCTCTACATCATCAATTTCCCAGCCCAGCCAAATCACAATGAGCCTCACTTACTGTTCCCAGTAATGCATTATATGCTTCTCTTCAAGATCACAAACTTTAGTCAATATGATCCTATCAAATGTACTGAATTTTCACTCTCAATTTAAGTACATCTGCGTGTGCTCCACACCAGGGGTCTTCAAACTTGGCCCTTTTATGACTTGTGGACTTCAGCTCCCAGAATTCCTTAGCCAGGCACGTTGGCTGAGGAATTATGGGAGTTGAAGTCCACAAATCATAAAAGGGCCAAGTTTGAAGACCCCTGCTCTACACTTTCTATTCTATTTTTTACATTTAGGAGATTGTTATCCAGGTACTCAATAGATTTTAGAGGGAATTAAAAGTGCACACAGAACTAAGATGCTTCATGAAAGTACAGAAGAAATACAAATAGACCAGCCTTCCAAAGAAATTATATTATTGTATTATCGAACTGCAACTTACCAAAAATAAATGTTAAAGATACTTTCAGCTTAAGGGATACCTGTTATTTGTACCAAATAAAATGATTAAAATGCTTCCATAGTTGATGTTATTATTCAGTGTATAAGGCTACCCAATCAAAGATGATTTCAATAGTGATTGGCCAGAGTAAAAATGGAAGCAAATGACCAAGGCATCTGCTAGGGAAGAAGATCAAAAAAAGCAAGGTGGTGGGCTCCTTTTTCCATGTTCTTCAATGCTATTAAAAAGAGACTTTGATTGTGCAGTTATGGCTTCCATCTTTTTTTTAGATTCATCCAACATCCCCATAATTGACAAAAATGAATGGTATTAATATGTTGGCTTCCTAAATAAAATTATCTCAAATACTATATATGATTTAAAAAACTGAACCTGCAGTCTCCAAAATTTGATTATTTTTTTTTTTGTCTTAACTGGTTGGAAAAATCCTTACTCAGCTCCTGCCTTCTACAACATTGAAATAGCTATTATTGAAATAGCTAGTCCTGTGTTATCTTGGAGTGCTTGATGAATCTATGCAGTATCAAAAGTGTAATGGGAATTTTTTTTTTAAGATAAAAAGGATTACTCACCTAGTTAAATATTCATGTGGCCTCCCAATGCAATAGGCTCCCTGGGTCGGGTTGCTAAGTTCCTTGGTCTTAAGCAAAGGGAACAGTATGCCAAAAACTGTTTTTGTCAGAAGGGGAGATGCTGTCAGGTCGTGTGAGGCAAAAGACAAATTGCTCTCAGAGACATGTGGCTGTTTCAGTGATGTCAATAATAAGAGAACCACTACTGGCATGTGGGGTTTTACCAATCTAGGGGTGCTTTTATGATCCTAGCATTTAAACTGCCTTGCTTCAATCTGTCATTCTGAATAATATCCAAAAAGTGTTTGTAACATCTCTTTATCTCATGTTGCTGTATCAATTCTCACTGTTGTTTTATTCTTTATACAGCACACGAGGAAGCCAAACAATGCTCAGAGGCTGGATGTAATGGCACCCTGCCACGTACTAAGCAATATGTGCTGCGGTTTTGCAGCTCGAAGCAAACAGTAACTACAAAAAGAGAAGTTTGGTAGTATTTCCGATAGGCTGTGTTCTGTTTGGTGGACTTTGCCTCATGTAGGGCAAAAGCTCTTTCTAGACCTCACATAGAAAAGCAAATTATAGGGAAACAGCATTAATGTTATTTAGTGTAATTAGGAAAGGCCACTTTGGCATACTGAATGCAAACAGGCCTCCCCTTGGGGCTTATACTGGAGAATCTTTAACAAAAGTGTTCTTTTGGGGTGCTAATTAGGCAGGGAAGTTAAATTGGTGGTAAACAGAATAAATAAACCCTAAAGGATTCCAATTAAGTAGTGTGGCCAGAAACCCTTTCTTCTGTTAAGTTTGAGAATCTCTCACTCCCTTGATTATTTGACATTTTTCCGGTTGTCATGGAAATCTTCATGATTAGAACAAATAACAGCTTTCTCTTTGGGAAAAAAAATTAAAACTACTTCAAGAGACCTTTTGTTAAAGAAAAACATTTTCTGAAAACCATATAACATTTCTACATGTTACATTTTAACATTGATCTTTGCCCTGTGATAGGAATGATTCAAGTGGCAGTTTTAGATTAGGAGACTGCATGTAAAACCTTTCATTAGGAGATATAAATTTCTTATATATTCAATAAAGAATAAGGCAATTTATTACAAAGTGGCTTAATTCACATGACACACTCATAGTTAACTTAATCATAGGTTTCAGTATTTCAATTTTCTGGATGCACTTGTAAACATAGAACTACAAACTACTGTAATACAAAGACTGGGCTTGAATGAAATGGCTAGGCTAAAGTATGGTTGGTTAATTATTGGCTCCTAGTACTGTGAAAACTCCATCATTATGTATGAATTAACTCATAAATTATGTATGTACTATATTGTGCTTTGTGAATGGCCACTATCTGTTCAAAATTTTCATTATCTGCACTTTTGTATTTAAATTATCCTAATTTCCTTATACCTCTAAAGCAGTGGTTCTTAACCTTTTTGTGCCTTGGATCCATTTGAGAGTCTAGTGAAATCTACAAACCTCTTCTTAGAAAAATATATTTAAATTAAATTAAAATACATACATGTGTATCGTATTACCAGTTATGCTGAGATACAATTATTAAAATATTAAAATATTTTAAAATAATATCGTAATATATGTGAAAATGTAGTTGCAATTTTCCACCCATCCAAGTTCATTAACCCCTAAAATCTATAAACAGAGGATAAATTTCAGGGAGTTAAGAACTTCTGCTGTAATGTAATAAATGGTAAAATAGTGCTATAAAGTACTGTGAAATAGTATATAAGTCAAAGTGCTATTGCTGTTGATAGTCATAAAAGTTGATATAAAGTGTTGGTTTTGATGTTGCCTTTTGTTTTTTTTCTACAACAGATTGGCTGTTCACTATTGGCTTCTCTATCATACTTCACTGGGTTGTTGCTAACATAACAGCGGGTGCACGTTTGATCATCTGCAGGGTTGTCATGTACAAAAGGGATGGAGATTTGCTTTTGTTGCCATTCCCACCTACTTGCAGATTTAGATTTTGCCCCCCATGCAGATGCCACTAGACTGTTTCATATCCCAAACTCTCTAAGAAAATGAAAACTGGTAGTAATAATAATAAATACAGTAATATATTTATTAGGGGGAAAATAAAAATATGAACAAGATTTAAAGTGTATAAATATTATTTTGGATAAAGCATCTGAGTATTAAGGAGAAGAATGCTACTTCAATGTTTATCCCCATTGGAAAATGCTTTAGCATGCTACCGGTAGGAAATGGTGTGCAATATAAAGGAAGAACTAATTCAAAGCATTATTGCTTCCTTTCCCTTCCTGCTATGAATTTTATATGTAGGATAAGGGCCAGCATATGCCATTTATTTTTCCACTTCTCTGCATGTTCAGCAGAGGTACAGAAAATTATAAAAGTGCAGAGAGGAAAGTGGCATCTGTGCTTTGTCCTAGCAAAGAAAGTCAGCAGTCAATCTTGATAATGCAACAATTACTTCATTGCTTGAAGTAAGTGCCAGGAACAGTCATATTAACAAGGAATGTAGAAAATGTAATCCAAAATGACTGGGAGTCATCATTTCTTTTTTTACAACTTCCCTGTTCCATGCTTCAAAACTGGTCTATGCTCAGTCACAATACAGTTACATTCTTAATAACTCATGAGAATGGGGTTGAAATTTTAAAATTGAAATCATGCATCGAACTTCTTTGCAGTGTTATTAGATTTTTCAAAAGCTTTCCTTAGGTATTTCTGTATCAATATAGTGTTGGTACCAGGGCTTAGAGGCATCTCTCATTGATTTCTTGCTTTTGGGATCTGTTGCATTAAAATTTCAATTATTACAACCTATGCACTTGTGGAAATCACCTATGGAGGTCTTGGGAAAGCAATTTTGGCTTCTTGTATTTTAAAGGATTTTATGCATTAGAAATACTACTATTTCCCTTATAGTACAAACTTTCAAGGTCACTTTTCTAGAACCCCAGAATACCATTTTCTGCTTCTAAAAGTGATTTTAAGTCCAGTCTCCTGATTTAAAACTTGCATAAATCCCAGGGAATGCGCTGGCCTTCATGTTTAACAGTGCTACTCAAACTTGATAATTTTAAGGTGCATTTCCTTCCCAAAGATTGTGTGTGCAATCTATAGAACAATGCTGGTTGGGAATTCTGGAAAATAAAATTACGAACTTTAAGAAACACCGGTTTAAACATCTATCGATCCACCATCCACGTTCTTAGGCTTTCATAACTTCCTCGGAGAAGAGTAAAATGAATGGATTCTCACAGCGTATTAAATTTGTCTAGACTTGCCCTTTGGAACAGCTGGGCCGGGAAAGAGGGTGGAATTGATAGCTGCAGGGAAGCAGGAAGGAAGGGTCAGGCTTACTTGGAAAGGTGCCCTAAACCAATTCAGCAAGAAAGGCAGGTGATGACAACATCACTATTTATGGTGCTTCGTGACAATCGCGCGGCCTTATATGGGCAGGCAGAGGACCTTGGAAGAGCTCTCGCGGCTGGAGGCGGAGCAGCAAGAAGTTGGCAGGGGAGACGCTCTCGTAAGATCCGTCGCCGGAGCCCGCTGCTCTTTGGAAACTCCCTCGCGAACCGGGCCTGCGTGCGCCTCAAAGGCAATAACTACTGCAGCTCTAGTTCACAAAACACGGACTCCTGGGTTTGGGAGGGCTGCGTGTTACCCTCTCCCAGAGTGAAAGAGCTCTGCAAGGAGAACGCCCGTTAGCCAGATAAGTGGTTATCAGAGATTACAAAAGAAAGAAAATGCTTGCTTGCTTGCTTGCCGTAATGATTCTCCGAAGAAAGGCAGAGTTGGCTGCGTTTACACTCTGGGAGAGGCAGGAGCGCGACACGCCTTTCGTTCTGTTATTTACGTGCTCTTAACATGCTACTCATCGTCTGTTTTCTTTCCAGTCTGAAAATGCTTGATTTGTCCAGTGGTAAAAGATCCTTTTTGCATATTCAGAAACATATTTTTAAAATTGATATTTTTATTTATTCCAAATCTTAAGTGTGAATAAAGCTGATTTCCAGAGAAGTGGCTTAAGAGTCCAGACATAATTTATTTTTTCCATCTTTTTCACAGTCCGTTCAAGATACACTTGTAAGATGAAGTCCTCGGAAAGATAGGATTTGAGCCAAGCAGACTCAGCAAACAGAATTTAGGCCTTTCTCCTAAGAATGAATTCTTACCATTGTCATTAATTGGCTATAATATAAGTGTTGTCTTCTCAGCTGTCAGTTCACTAACTAGGTGTACTGAGAATGCCAGAGTTTTCCACTGGAATCAATGGGTGTAGAAATAATGAAAACAGCCTCCAGTATATAGTTGTTATATTAGACAGTTTTGCCTTGAGCACTGAGAAAAAGCATTAAATATTGAGAATTGCATTTAATATTCTTCAGGTTTCAACATGAGCAATAATCTAGGGGTTAAACTGTGGTTCACCTGCATTCTGAGGAACTTTGAAGGCCGTTTCTCCATCTCAAATTGTGTTCAGACTGCAGGGAAACTGGGACTCTAGGCAGGTGTTGAATTGTAATTAGCCACAGACCAAACAACCTGGCTTTTAATAAGAGAAGTTAGAAGTCTGAATTTAGCAAAACTGATACTGAAAGATATTCTTTACTTCAAAACAACTCTGTCAACTTCAGTTGAAGGCTGTATTAAGAGGGGTGAGAGATGGAGTTCAAGGAATCTAAAGAATTTTAATTAATATAAAATATGCTATTTATGTAAAGAAGAAGGTGAGATAGTAATGCAGTTGATTTACTGTTTGCAAAAGCTGTAAAAGGGCTGTAAGTATATCAGAATAATATATATTAGAGAGCTGTTTGGTGTAGTGGTTAATGCACCAGGTTAGAAACCAAACCATGAGCTCTAGTCCTGCTTTAGGCATGAAAGCCAGCTGGGTGACTTTGGGCCAGTCGTGCTCTCTCAGCCCAACTCACCCCACAGGGTAGTGGTTGTGTGGAAAATATTAGGAAGGAGGAGTGTTAGGTATGTTTGCCTCCTTATTTATAAAATAATAATAAAGACAGGATATTAAATGGCTCTTAAAATTTAAGCTATAGATAAAATAAAAGTGATTTCTAAGGCAAACAAATAATACTTGCTCAGAAATGTCTTTCTGATCAAACATGACAATAATTAAACTATGCTTGCATAACACACTGAATCATAAAATAGCTGATCAGATTAGCTAACTTGTGAAAACCCAGTTCTTGTGGTTAGTATAGCATATTGCATAGATGTGGGAGAAAACCAAGTATATCTACCCATCCCCAAATTTATTGACCCATACATTTATAGTTACCAACTGAACCTACTTCTGTTTTTTAAAAAGGAGGTTGTATGTAGAAAGCAGCAGATTAGACTGTTAATACATGGTTTAAACCCTATCACCTACTTAAAGACAAGTCAAACTATTATAAAAGTTGCCTTGGCAGCCTTACTATTCACACAACTCAGTTTTTCCTTTCGAACTGAAGTGTAGGAATTAAAGGTAGCAGTTCAAGCTCTTAAACATAGTTCTACTTTATTATATAAATGCAGTCTGGATATTCCAGGATGTCTTCTTCCTTGACTTTGTGTTAGCTCTAACCATATAACTACAGATGAAGTTTCTCTACAGCAAAAACATTTATATTCAAGCTTCAATCTGGCCAGGTAGCTTTTGTGTTACTCATTTGCCAGTTATTATGCTCCAGGCACCTAGAAATCTGGCTATCAGGTTCACAGTTCATACCTGTCTTTCATCTAGCTTGGGCAGGAAAGGGGAGAGTGACAAATACTACTGACCTTTTACTTGAAATTAGTCTTACTGCTATGATCTCACAACTGTAAAGCAAACCTTTAAAGATATAAATCTTTATAAAATGTAGGGTGGGATCAGACAACAAACTTTACTGATTCAATGGCAAAAGCAATATGTCATACAATGCCATAATTTGGGTTGGGGCTGGTTTCAATCTCAAGTACACTGCAACATTTTCTAGTAATACTATAATGTGTGAAAAAAAGCCAGTCAACAATGTGGTATAGTAGTGCCTAGTTTTGCTTGATCAGTCCCCCAAGGAAATAAAATACAGAGTGGCTGAACCTATAAGATGCTTTTTTTAGAAATGTAATTGTTAAGGCCTGGCAGCTGCAGGATACACACTTCCCAACCACCAATTGGATTTAGCATTCAAAGGAGACTCATTTGTCTGATTAGAGGGAAAGGAGCCATTGCCACAAAAAAAAACTTGTTAGTCTTTTGATGTAAGACATCAAGTAGAAAGTGAATATATTCCTTAAAGAACCTTGTTTTGGGCTGGATGGTGCACTATTATGTGTTGCCAGATTCAGTGATAGTTATGACTGAGTTAAGCATAAGATGTGAATGCACTTAGAGAAAGGAATCAAAATTGTAAACTGTTCAGATCCATGGTAATCTGTGATAACGTAACCTTTAACTTCTAGTTTCTTATCTTGATTCCCAACAATTACATTAAGTAGCATATCTCTTTAATTGAACTTCATTCCTCGTGAATTCATAGATGGGACAGTTTGTTTTCTTGGCAATAATATGAAAGTGGGTTTTCATGCCTTGTTCCAGGATGCTTATTTTACTCCACCAAGTATCTTGTATGCCCCATATTTGCTGATGATGGCTCATCCAAGTAGTAAATAGATCTGACCCCACTATGCTGGCCAAGATCAGTCAATTTACAAAATAGTTTGAAAACCACACAACTATATTACCATTTTACTATATTACCACTGATCTGTACCACCTAACAATCTACCTAAAAATTACCAGTCTTATGATCAAACT